TGGATGGATGGATGGATGGATGGATGGATGGATGGATGGATGGATGGATGGATGGATGGATGGATGGATGGATGGAAAGAAGAGATAGACCAATGTGTCATTTTTTGCCGATATTTGTTTTTTTCTTGTATGGGCATCAATACTGTATATTAGTCCATTCAGCATCCATACTTTGAGATCATGTGAAGCACATGCATATGACTTTGTTGTTCATTTTTGATGTTTTGTTTGATTTTTTCTTTTACATTTCTTTGCGTTTACTTTGAGACTAGTGCAAAAATCGGCCTAGAGAATAACATTTTAAAAATCAGCAGCACATATCAGGAATCGGTTAGAATCATGTTAGAATATGAGTATTGGCTTTGGTCTTAAAATACCTGCATCAGTTGATCTCTAAAAAGTCCTGTTTCAAGCTCTTTGAACCTTACCACTGATTATCAGGTTCATCACAGAACAACTCAACTATTTATTTTTGTTTTAGGTATAGTTTTAAACTTTCAATCTTAATATTATGTGGAGTTAGGATTGGTAACGCACTTTGGAAAATGATGTAATACCTTTTTTTTTAAATTGTATCACTATCTGAACTGATTTCTTCTTTCTAAGCGTCATTTTCAGGGAGTGGCGTCCTCAGATCAGACGGATACGACTCACCAGCATGCATATGTCCATGGGAAGGTAGACTTTCCGCCGGCTGCTGTGGTAAGGAGCGGCTCTGAGACACGTTACGATTCCCTGAGCTTTTCCTATGTGACTGGCTGCGTGATCTGCATGGACGTTCTTCACACCTGCAAACAAAAAAACAGCACAGACCTTTAATGACAAAATCCAACTCTGCAAAATCTAGTTTGGCAGAGGCAAAGTGTTTTAATACACAGAAGCTGCTTTGTTTTCTTTTTCTACTGTCAGGTATAAGTGCATTGGTAGACCAGACACTAGGCTGATTATAGCTTCACTAATGGAGATGTGTTATTTTTAAACAGAGAGCAGACATGAGTGCTAGCCGTAATGAGAAACGGCTTCACCCTTAAATCACCCTTATATTCACTAATGAGGAAACGGAAAGACGGCCAACAAAACTGGTCAGTTCAGAGATGCAGCGATTTTGCCACAAGGTCAGAAAAGAGAGAGTTGCTGTTGTGTAGAGAAAAATATGGAAAGCAAATATGGACGCAAATCAAGTGTTCCTAAAAAGAAATCTGCAGAGAACCTGAAAAAACCATGTTAACAGCATCTCCATTTGATCTCATCTTTAGCACTTTCTTCTAACGTCTCTCATTAAAACCTACCCAAACACTCCAGCAGCAGGTATAACAGTGAAGACTGTGTGTTCTCTGAATATTTCTCAAGTTCCTGAAGGTTCCTGTAGGCTCGGTCGTCCATGTCCTTTTCCTGGTGAAATAAACAGTTATTAGGGAAGTTTCAGCTTTTAACTTGAGAAATGGCATTCAGTGGAAGAAGTTAGAAACAGTTCTGTTCACTTAAGACCAACTGCTGCACTCTGTTTTATTGAGGAACAGAGTCAAAAGAGGCAAATTTAACTGCATGTCTCAATTATCAGATAAATATTTATCTAAAACCGTTTTCTAAAACTTTACTTGAAGCAGAGTATCTTGT